TTCTCTGGAAATTTATCCTTTATTGTTAACTGATTTCTCTAGGTTCTGTTTATTTTTTTTCTTTCCACTGTACCGAAAAAAGAGCCAACTTATCCTATCTATAACCCAAGTTATGGTTTAGATCAGGTTTAATAACTTTGAAAATGATAATATATAAAAAAGACTTCAATTTTTTAAAAGTACATAGGCAGCTTTATATAGTAGATAGCTGGTTAAAGAAATCTGATATTATGCATCACTAAAATAACCTCAAAATCCATAATTTTGTTATTTTAAACATGACACTGTTGTAGAGGAGGCCAGAGTATATAAACAAGGTGGACAATGATTCAAGGCCCTTACTTAACAAGAAAATCTCAAGGATAAATAAGGTATATTTGTCAAATATACTTTATAAAATGAAGATTTCCCTGACTTAATAAAATGTTCCAAATACGAAATAAAAATTACTTAAAACTCTGCTCCTTAAATATACCAAAATAATAATAATAAAAATATTTCATAAATATTTTAAAAAACTCCATTTTTAATTTTACCTAAACCCATGTTCACCTGACGCCTGCACATAAGCGCTGATTTCCTCGTGTTTTTAAAGTGGATGAGAGAAAATCTTAGACTAATTTTTTAATTTACCATCAGAGCATGATCAAATGACAGATTAAGGCCATGATATAAAGTAAGCATGGACCAAGTTCTTATATAACCTTTGTTTCTTTTCGGACAATAATACTACTCTTACTAGTTAATGGCAATGATGGAGGCAGGAAAGAACATCATGTCTTACTTTTCTACTAGTATTCCTTCATGGAATTATTGACCCTCTAACCAGTGGGAAATTTTAAATTGTATTGTCAAACATTTCCTAATAAAAATTTGATTCTGTCATCTATGATTTATATATATACTAATCTCTTTACATAGCCTTCATCTCTTTACTTAGCAAGTGATGATGTGTTAGCCTTCCTTTATAGCCCCCTGTATTGAGATTGTAAGCTCAGGATATATGAGAGTATGTTGATGGATATTTTTTAAAATATTTTTGATTTATAAATATATTAAAATAATATTTTTTTAAATTATTTTTAACATCAATACATCAAAACAACATAAAAATATAAAAATATAATTTTAAATATTTTTTTTATAAATTTTAACCAATATATCACAATTTCAAACAAAACTTAATCCCTCACCTTTTAAGTGATAATTTAACCACTGATTTAGCGAAACAATACCAGCATCTCTGAAAAGTTAAGAATTTAGTTTTTTCAATTCATTGTAACCTCTTGCTGATCTGTTTTGGGTGCGATCATACCTTAGTTTTTTCAATTCATTGTAACCTCTTGTGTTACTAAGATAAACAACAAATATAGAATCGATTTACTATTTGAAAAGAAAAGGACTTATGATTGTTAATATTACACTAGAATAATGTTAAATATAAAATATGTGACTTTCTCCATTCAGATTCGAGTCCTTGGTTGCTCATATGATGGCCACTGGAGGCTTACATGGTCGTTAACTTCAGGGCCCGTGGGATTAGTCGTGGTGCGCGCAAGCTGGCCCGGACACCCACGTTAATCTAAAAAAAAAAAAGATAAACAACAAATATAGAATCGATTTACTATTTGAAAAGAAAAGGACTTATGATTGTTAATATTACACTAGAATAATGTTAAATATAAAATATGTGACTTTCTCCATCATTGTATCATATAATAGCATATAATTTTCTGGGATTTTTTTTAATATTTAACATTTTTTCTTAACTTGATATAAGCTAGGATATTTTTAAAATTAGTTCGAATTTCAAATGGTTTATTCTCCCCATTATCATTTAATATTATTCAAATCTAAACATTAATCAGTTTGCTTAAAATGTTTGAAATCCGATCAAGTTAAGTTTCTAATCTATTGTTATGACAAGATTTTGAGAAAAATCTATTAGAATTGATCACATGATTTACAAGTGAGAAGCACTCAACTTAAAAACTTAACATATATTCAAATTTAAAATTGACTTGGAATATAATAATAAATTTTAAAAATACCATATTATATAAAAATAGATTTAGCCATTGAAACCTTTTGTTATTATGTTTTCTTCTGTTGTTATTTTTTTTTCCTTCCTGTTTTTGAAAAGCTACAGCTTGTAATAGTAACAATTCTTTAAATTAACAAAAATTTAAAAGTGAAACATTGTTTCAATGTATCTGTGATTCTTGTCTCTGTTGTTTGTTCTATAGGACTTTTCACATTCTGATTCCTCAATTTTTTTTACTTTTTATTTGGTATATTTCTTTGATTTGCGATAATTTATTTTTCATGCATATGTATGGGAATCTTGAAGTATCAGAAAAATGTTTTGTCACTTGATTGACACTTAGTTTTAGTTTTGTAAGATATAATTTAATTTAATTTATTTATAAGAATTAGCATTTTGGGGATTGAATTTGAGACTTAGACAAGTTTTTAGTTTTTTTTTTTAATACCAAGAACTAATTTATATGATAAGGGGAAGAGTTTATGTTTTTTTTTGGACTATTATTTTTTAAAAAAATTTGATCTATTTACATTGATTCTATTTATAACTTGACTTTGTAGTTTGTTGCTTACACCTATAGGGTTCCGATCCTCGTTTAATGCTTGCTTTGACAAGAAAAATAAAATCACATTGATGTAAAACAAATAAGTTTTAAGCGGTCAAAATCAAAACTAAAAAATGATATTGGATTAGGGTGGATGGATAGACTAATTAAGCTGGCATGTGCACCGCACGTGGAGGAGACCTGCCACGTTCAAGCAGCATGTGCAACCTTTTTTATTGGCAAATGCTCATCCATTATGTTATCTGAAGTGCCACATCATGTTTTATCCATCGGTTAGACAACATCGATATATATATATATATATTTTATTAATGTGGGTGTCCGGGCTAACTTGCGCGCACCACGACTAATCCCACGGGCCCTGAAGTTAACGACCATGTAAGCCTCCAGTGGCCATCAATATGAGCAACCAAGGACTCGAACCTGAGACCACAGAGAGAGCAAACCCCTTGATCCCAAGTCTTTACCACTTGACCACCACCTAGATAGTTAACATCGATATATTTTGCTTCTCCCCGTCTTTGCTCTTTTCTCTATTTGGGATTCGCGCTGTCCAAACCAAAATTAATAGGCGTCCTTTCATTTTGTTTTTACGTCAATTTTAGTTGTTATTTTGACTGTTATATTATTCTTGAGTTCTTTAAAAAAAAAAAAATTTATTATCTAATATTAAATTAGTTTGAAATTTGATTTTATAATTTTTTTTTGTGCAGTGATCCAGACCTCATGATTTTGATCAAGGATTTAAAAAGTTAATCCGGGTTGACATCAATCTTTTTTATAAATGATTTTTTTTAATTTCATTATTTAACGTTGAGTTTATTGGCAATTAGGTTTCATAATTTTTTTTTAATTTTTTTTATGTGAGATTAACATGACCTAGATTATATGTTTAATAGGTTAGCTATAGTTGACTTAAGTCTTTTTTAAGTCATTTTTTAAAGATTTGTTATTCCAGTCTCGTCCTTCAACACTTAGAAAGTGTTTGATATTACGGCTAAAACACTATTTGCCTAAAATTTAAATTTTATTTTTGTTTAAAATTATTTTTTTAGAGTTTTTAAATTATTTGGCATGCTAATGTAAAAAATAAAATTTTAAAAATAATTTAAATATATTTCCAAGCAAAAACACTTTAAAAATAATTGTTACTATAATGCCAAATAAGCTATTACTTGGTTTGGAAATTAATCTTTACACTTTTTTTCTTTTCATTTTGCTTCTTTTAATTTATCATGCGAGCATTATTGAACTCACGAGGTTTGGTGAATTTCCCTGGGTGTGTTGGTTTTTTTGATCCTTATGATTAATTAATTTTTTTTTCTAGTTTTATTTTTTTATATTTAAATGGTTAGAAATTAGACATTATTTTTTTTTTAATTTGTTATTTATGGAATTATCTTACATCATGTCTTGAGTCGTTTTTTTGTTATTAAATTTTTAAAACTTCATCTTTCAACAATGTTAGTTAAAAATTAAATTTTATAATTTTTTTCTTTTCACAAATATTTATTTTGTGCAAATTGTTATAATTACTTTTTATATATATAAAAAAAATTCAATTAATTTGTTGTCATTTTTTTTTAAAATCGTATAATTAAATAAAGATAACTTGTTGGTACTGGTACTAGTTGACTCCATTACTTGTAAATAAAAAAATTCATTCCGGTCTTTGTATTAAAGCAAAATCTAGTTTACTTTTATTTAAATAAATGATAAAGCAAAATCTAGTGAACAGTCACCTCCATCGTTTGTTATAGGACCAGCGCCCCGACGGCAGATGTCATCGCACGTGTGTCATGGAAACACAACCATTCTCCATCCTGCAAATCGTGAAGGCCATTTCCTTTTGGAATTTGACCTTTGCAGCTTTCTTTCCCAAATTAACACAAAATCTACCGTCGGTGGTGGTGATTGCATCTGGCTAAAGTTATTGACCGTTGCATCCACCACCAGCTTTAAGTGGACCTTGTAGTTCATATATAATTAGTGCATACTGGAAAACTTATCATGCCGTCTATATTATCATTAAATCTGTGATAAATAAGATTTAAATAGTCTAAATTAAGTACGGTTTAAGTTTAATTTGATGCCTAATCTAATTGGGGGGTATCCTTGTCCTCAAATAAAAAGGAATTTCGATCTACATGAACTTCATCCATCTGTTAGATATTATGGGTTGACCAATAAAATCTCGACACGTGAAAGATTGTGGGATAAAAAAATATCCAGTCCATGTATCACAATTTTGTTCATCAATTCTTAATTCTTAACTTATAGAGAGTTAATATTAAATAAAAATTATTTGTACGTGGACATAATAACTGGGATATTATTGAATAATGCATTTATTCCAAATCATAAAGTTTGATAAGATTTCAAAACACAGTATAAAAATTAACAAAAATAAATAATGTATTTCACTCTTTATGTCGCCCACAAGGCAAACATTTTTACATTAAGGAAAAGCAATAAAACATGAATTGCAATTAAACTTGAGAGCTTCACTCGTAATAAAACAGTCTTCGCCACTGCGATCCGCATTAATTGATGTAATCAAGAACCACTCCATGAGTTGTATTTAATCTTCGCCACTGCGATCCGCATTGATCTCGTCGAGAATCACCACAAGAGCTACTATGAAGGCATAATCAACATTAGGATACACAGTCACTCCAAAACTATCTGTCTCCATAATAGTACTCGCGATAGTGTGTCTTCTATGCATCTGCGTTCACATAACAAGAAAATATATACTGGGATGAGCTATTAATTATGAAGACAACCTTCTTGATTAAAACAATAACAAATTAACAAAAATAAATAATGTATTTTACTCTTTATGTCGTACAATAAAACATGAATTGCATTTAATTTTACAATGAAAGAACAATTAAACTTGAGAGCTTCACTCGTAATAAAACAGTCTTCGCCACTGCGATCCGCATTAATTGATGTAATCAAGAACCACTCCATGAGTTGTATTTAATCTTCGCCACTGCGATCCGCATTGATCTCGTCGAGAATCACCACAAGAGCTACTATGAAGGCATAATCAACATTAGGATACACAGTCACTCCAAAACTATCTGTCTCCATAATAGTAGTCGCGATAGTGTGTCTTCTATGCATCTGCGTTCACATAACAAGAAAATACTAGCATGAGCTATTAATTATGAAGACAACTTTCTTGATTAAAACAATAATAGGTTTTAATGTAAATGATATCGCTGGATGCTCCACCGGCGGGTATGTTCTCACAGCTGGAATGGGGTTGCCTGGTGCGTGCCCAGTAGCCATAATCACCGAAACGAAATATTACTTGAAGAAATAAACAGAGAAAAATTGCTAAATTTCTATATTATGCAGGTCTTGATGGAACTAGTCTTTTAGAGGAATGGTGTTCGTATCTTATAGTGCCACTTAACATATGGCATGCCGTGTCTTTAAATAAATAAAAAAAGGCTCTGTCCTTCAATTGTGCGCGTACGGTACAACCATAACAAAAGGCAGCGAGGGAGGCGGGCATGTGGAGTGTTTGGGCGGATCGGGAAATATCTTATGGTGAAAATTAAAGATATTTTATTAGATATTTATTATAAGGAAAGAAATGGATATAGATATAAAAAAAGGATAAAATTAATAATTTATTAAAAACGATAAGAATATTTTTATTTGGAGTTTTTCTCTTAATTGTATTTATTTTTTAAAAAATAAATTTTAAAAATAATTAATAAAAAATCATTAGCTATTTTTTGACCAATATAAAATTTTTCAATGAATAAAACTGTATTAAGGACACAATTTTTTTTTTAATTACCGTCTTGGTTAGTATTTTAAGGGGATAAATATAGAAATAATATGAATATATTTTGTTGAATGGATATAAATATAGATATAAATATAAATATAAAATAAATTTATTTTAAAAATATTCTTCAAAGATTTTTTTCATTTTAAAATAATAGGGGTATTTTATCTTTACTTTTTTTTTCTGAAAACAATAATCAAAAGAAAAATTATTAAACCTGGCTCGGGAGTTGACCCGGCCAAGGGGCCGAGTCCCGGGTTTCATGGGTCAACTTAGATCAACTCAGGTTGACCTGGATCAACCTGGAAAAAATAAAAAAAATAAAGTTTTAATATTTCATATGAAAAAATTCATGTAAATATAAGTTATACATATCGTAAACAATGAATTTTAAATAATATTTTAAAAAAAAATTTATCCCACATTAAAAAAACATAACTTTTTTTTGAAAACATAAAGTATATATACTAATAGGTTTCAAATCGCATATTGAAAAAATATAACTTATTTCATGGGAGCATAGAGTATATATACGAAAGGGTTTCAAATTTCACATTGAGAAAATATTATGTTATCTTTTTAAGTTAAAGTATTTAAATCAAAAGGTTTTTTTTATCTCACATTGAAAAAATATGATTTTTTCCTTGGAAACATAGAGTATATACACGAAAGAACTTCAAATCCGATATTGAAAAGATACTATGTTATCATTTTAAGTTAAAGTATTTAAATCAAAATATTTTTTATCCCACATTGAAAAAACATGATTTTTTTCTTAGAAACATAGAATATATATATTAATGGGTTTCAAATCCTACATTGAAAAGACATCATTTTTTTCTTGGGAATATAGAATATATATATAAAAGGGTTTCAAATCCTACATTTAAAAGATATTATATTATTTTTTAAGTTGAAATATTTAAACCAAAAAGTTTTTTTATCTCACATTGAAAAAACATAATTTTTTTTTTTCGGAACATAGAGTATATATATGAAAAGGTTTAAAATCCCACATTAAAAAAGATACTATATTATTTTTTTAAGTTGAAGTATTCAAATCAAAATGTTTTTTTATTTCACATTAAAAAAATATAATTTTTTTATTAGAAATATATAATATATATAATAATAAGTTTCAAATTCTATATTTTAAAAAAAAAATTAAGTCTCATTCGGGTCTATACGGGTGACCAATTCCAGATTAATTTACTGAACCGGGTTGGATTTAATAATAGTGATCAAAAGTGACTAAATGCACTTGTTTTTTTCTTAAAAAAAAAAAATAGGCCAACCAAAAAAGGCAACTGTAAAATAGTTTTAAGAAACAGATATACAGCGGATCAGGAGACCCAGCAGCCAATGGCTACAGTGTCAAACAAGGCAACCTAGCTATCTTCTCTTTTAGGCATGGACCAAATCAGCACTGCACACCAAAAGAAAACGTCAAAACGTCACAGTAACTTTTTTTTCTTAAAAAAATGTTTGGTTGTTGATTGTTAAATTATTTTTTATTTAAAAATATATTAAAATAATATATATTATTTATTTTTTAAAACTTATTTTTAATAATGATATATCAAAATGTTTCAAAATATAAAAAAAATATAATTTAAAAAAAAAAATTAAAATGTTTTTAAAAGCTCCTAAACTAAGCTTAAAAATATACTTACAAATAGTTCTTATATCATCATTATTTATTTAATAACCTTTTTCTATAAAAGGATCCATATTTATAGTATCTTTTAAGTATCAAAGTATTATTTTAGCCGTTAAAAGATAAATTTTTATTGGATTATTCATATATCTACTAACAAAACTTATTAAATATATTATATCTAATATTGTTGTTGTTGTTAGATACATCAAATTAACTACCTATATTTTTCTTTTTCTTGTAAAGGATGTTATCAACGTTCTTTTCTTTATAATTTCTATTTAGTTTCAAACTAGACTCAATTGATGCGCTTATTAAATTGCAATTATTCATTTGAAACTTATATGATATTTCTTGAACATATTTTTTTTAGAAATACATATACTAATACTTGATTGAACCACTTCAAAGATGAGAAATATTTAACAATTAATTTTTGTTTAATGACTGAGTAAATGATTATCTTTTCCATAATGATTACAAAAACAATTAACCTGATTTTGATGAGCGGGGATATTACCATTTTAAGTTAGATAAAAAAAAATTAGTACTTATTATAAATTAAAGTAGAAATACTGATTTTTATTTATTGTTTCAAATATTGTAAGTTTGATAGTGATAATAAAACAATCTCTTTTCATATTTTTATCTTACCTTCTTCTTCATCAACCAAATAGAATATAAAGAAAAACTCAATTTGTCTTATATACCATTACTAGGTACAACTCGACTAACTTTCATATTCTATATCATTCTCTATGTCTCTGTATATTTTGTTTTAAGATAATATATGCTACCTTATGTCATAACTTATTTTTGAGTTATTTTTTAAATTTATTTTTTAAAATAAAAACAAAAAATAAAATAATAATAGTAAGAAGACTGACAGCGTGAAAAAAACTAGATGAGGAAGAATTTTAAATATAGAAAAATCAAGTTATAATTTTGGATGGAATTGAGAGCCTAATTGTACCTTATTTTACCCACAACTTAAGAGACAATGTAGATTCAAGGTCAAATTAAATTATTATTAGATGAATTTACATAAAACTTATGCCTAAGGACATAATTAAATTTTTAATAGGTCAATTTGATTTAATCATGAGCCAAATTAAAATTTAATTATGTTTAAGAATTAATTTGGGTCCAATTAGAGGATTTAATTAGGTGCAAGGACTTAATTATACTTTAAATTGATTAAGTTAATTTTATTCGGGGCTTAATTGGTGAGAAATTAAGTTTGAAAGCCCAATTTAAGCTTAATTGAGAATATTAGAATTTTAGAAGACCAAAGTTAATTTTTACAAAGTCAATTGGTTTAAATCAAGGAGTAAATCACAAGAAAATTAAATTTTTAAGTCAATTAGGGGTTAAATCAAAGAAATTCACAGCCAATGATTATCTTAAAAAAGACACTGAACTATGAGGACTCAATTGATTGAAATCAATGGTGCAATTAAAGAAAAAAAAATTTAATGATCAATTAAGGATCAAATTGCATAAATCCAAAATCAAGAATGAATATGAAAATGATGTTGAAAGTCAAGGATAATATTGTAATTCAATAGGAGTAAAATTATATTAAATCAAAAGTTTAAGATTAATTAGTAGTGAAATTAAAAAAAATAAATATTAGACGACCAAATTAAACTTTGAACAAAATACCTAATTTAAGGTTCAAAACAACCCTTTTTTTAACGGTAAATAAAAAAAAGGAACTAAAGGATGCTTTGTGAAAAAAGATATTTTGTCATTGTATGACGTTGCTTGGGTTTAATTATTTGACTTATTGAGTCAAATGTAACCCAATAAAGATTTAGTTTTTTCAAGACAACATTGATTAGCTTTATTTTTTAAAAACGTTTTTTCAAGACAACATTGATTAGCTTTAGCTTTATTTTTAAAAAAAATATTAAGATAATAATGTTTTGAATCAAATTGAGTCAATTAATTAAACAATAAAATTTATAATTAAGGTTTTGAACTTAAATGAGTTTAATAACTCTATTTTTTGAAATCTAATTTTTTTAATGTACAATAATAAAAATAAACATGTGTTAGAAAGCTACTAGATAAAATTTAAGGGGAAAAAGACTATGAAGGGCTATAAAAAAAGCACCAATGTTATAAAAATATTTCATAATATTTTTTTGATGATATTTTTTGTTATCTCTTAAACCCAAAATGTTAAAAAATAAACAAAATGAAGTTTTGGATAAAAAAACTAATGTTATAAAACTAAAAGGACAAAAGATATAAAAATAAAGAAACTTTTAGGACCAAAATTTAAAAATCTACACCTCATGTGTTTATATATAGGATGTTTTTTATTGTAATGTTTAATTTGATCCTTAAAGTTTCAATATTTCTTTAACAATAAACTTGCATTCTTTTTACCAAATCAAGCACCAATTTTTGATGCACTCCAAACAAATTTATACAAATAAATTTTACTAAAGTTATAAAGCTAAGTTTATATAATGATCATTTATCTCAATTTATGTGTTATTTGTTTTTGGGTTTGATCAGAATTCAAAACACATTAAATAAACGATTATAAAACTCAACAAACGTTATATATTTTACGCTTTATGTCATCCACAAAGCATGCATTTTACATTAGGAAAAAGCAATAAAGAATGCATTGTATTTACTCTTACAATAAAAAAGCAATAAAACTTGAAAACTTCTCTTAAAATAAAACAAAAGCTGTATTTAATCTTCGCCACTACGGTCCGCATTGATCTCATCGAGAATCACCACAAGAGCTACTATGAAGGCATAATCAACATTAGGATAAACAGTCACTCCAAAACTATCCGTATCCAAGATCATAGTCGTGAGAGAACGTAATCTATGCATCTGCATTTATGTAAGATTTAAAAATATTAGTTTGAAAACCTGAAAAGATAGGACTCTGAAATGAATGAGAGCATCGAACTTACTTGTGCAAGCATGGTATTGGAATCTCCAAGAAGTATAGAGCAGGAACTCTCTCCGTACCCTCCCTTGACCTTGAAATCATTATGATTTTGCTATTTAAGGAAAAATGAGGTGAGTTGATGTTGGGGGGTAATACAGTTCTTTCCATCGGTTCACTAGCCATTAAAGAATTGTCAGGGTACAAGTGTCTTTTTGCTTTTTAAAAACAATAAAATAAGTAATTTATCCTCCAAGTAAAAAAATCATTAGAACTGTTGACCAAAATATTTTTGTTTGTTCTTTTAGAACACATTAAAAAGATAGTTTTGCCCTTCAAATCATAAACAAATAAGGCAGGTGTGCAGAGTAATTTCATCATTTTATATAGTTTTTTTTATTAATTTCAAATTAATAAAAAGCATTTTAATCTTTTAATATTGAATTAATGATTTTTTAATAAAAGAATGCTATCACATCCTCACATCATGTCAATACATTAAAAACATTCGTGCTTTTTGTGTGATGCATGTGACATCTCTCACTGTCTATACCTATTTTTTCATAAGCAATGCCATATATTTTCCCTCTTGATATGGCACGTGACAATAAAGATGAACAATTTGTCATTCATGGTGATTAATTATTTTTTGTATTTTAATTTTAATCTATATTTTTTTAATTTTTAATTTTTAATTTTGATCTTTTTATAATAATTTTGTTTATTTTTAATTTATTCCTTCAATTATAATTCTCTTATCTATTAGCATGTAATACTTCAGGAAGACCCGTTGGATTCAAGGGTTAATAACTAAATTTATTAGTTAGATTATAATGCTAATTAAAAAAGTTAAAGGTTAAAGTGAAAAACACTTACAAGCTGAGGGACTGTTGTTTCATTCTATTTAACTTTAAAGCCGGTGATTAATATGTGGTCAACGAGTCTCTATTTTTCTATTTACAAAGTTGTTTCTCTAAAAAGTAATAATAAAAATCTTTCTCCTCTACAAGCCTCCCATCTTCAATGCATGGGTTTATACGAAGAAAATGATAAATTAAACACCCGATAATAAATAGATATCAAATTAAATTATATCTAGTCTCGTGTAAAAATAACAAAATTTACAATTTTAATGAAAAAAAAGTTTAATTTCAATGCTAAACAGGGGCTTAACTTTAAAGTTAATATATTAATATCTGGTTAACGAGTCTCTATTTCTCGATGTACAAAGTTGTCATATGAATAATTTGAACGATGACTCAAGGTCATTACTTAATAAAAGTTTTTAATAATAAGTATATTTATCAATTATATTTTTTTAAAATAAAGACTTTCATAACTTAATAAAAGACTTCAAATACAAAATAAAAATTGCTTAAGACTCCACTTTTTATATATACATATAAAAATAAAAATAAAATTCTTAATTTTATTTTTAAAAAACTCCATTTATAATTTTATCTAAATCCATGTTCACCTTAAGCCTGTGCATAGGCGCTGATTTCCATGTTTTTTTTCCTAGTAGATGAGAGGAAATCTAAGACACAATTTAGAATAATATTTTAATTTAAATTATATAAAGTAAGCGGGGACCAAGTTCTTAAATAACCTTTGTTTTTTTTCGGACAAAAATAATCTTACTAATTGATGGCAATGATTGATGCAGGAAAGAACATCATGCCTTATTTTTCTTTTAGTATTCCTTCATGGAATTATTGACCCCTGACTAGTGGGAATTTTTAAATTGTATTATCAAATATTTCCTAATATACATTTGATTTTGTAATCCATGATTTATATATACTAATCTTATAGTATATTTTGTCTGAGATAATAATTGTTTTTTAAATATTTTTAATGTATACATATATTAAAATAATAATTTTTTTATAAAAAAATATTTTTGATATCACAACATCAAAATGATATAAAAATATAAAAGTAACAACATATTTTTGTTTTGTTTTTTTGTATTATATGTAGATAAAGTCTAGAAATAAATACACTATTAAGATAAGCATTTTTCATTCCTAATTTTTTTTTAACATTTTCATTTCTAAAGCCTATAGTTTTTTTTTTTTAATTTGTTGCCTACTTTATTGTTTTTATTTCCATAATAATTGATTATATTGTTGAATTTTAATTGTTATTCTTGAATTTACTTGTAAAAAGTAATTGAAAATATAGGATTAAATTTAATTATTTTATTTCAATTTTACTCTATTATTACTTGATATGTGTTTGATTATTTCTATTAATTTTAATTATTAATGATGAATTTCTATGGATGTTAGTTGAATATATAAAATTAAATGTTATTTTTTTGCTTTATTTTATTGTTAAATTTGTATAGATGCTAGGTTATATATAAGATTTTTCAATGGAGTCAATTAATTTGTGGCTATTGTCAATATTTGCAGGTTTGAAAACTTTGGGTAGTCTCTAGTATAAGGTAGGTGATGCTGATTTTTTTTTAAATAATCAAATTTAATTATGTAATTATTCGTATAAATTTGTGTAAATGTATAGAATGAAATCAAAACATGTCATCAGCAAATAGTTGCAGCTAGTTCTTTTAGCAATGATGATGACTTATCCTTAGGTGGCGATCAAGAAGAGGCACCTGCGCCCACTCACGATGCTACCTCCTCCAACGTGATTTCACAGCGCAGAGGCGGTGCGTCTTCACAGCGGGGTCAATTCACTTGCGAGTACCAGGCACCTGGGAAGGACAACCTTTCAATGTAAGTTTGTTTCGATTTTAGTTTTTTTTATACTTATAACATAATTTATGAACAACTAATTAATATTTTATTATTTTTATTTATTTTGAGGTTCACAGACATTGAGATCGCCCAAGTAATAACATCAATGTTTAAATCGTTGATAGAGATTCTATTATTTCAATGGAGTCAGCTTTCCAAATATCATATTGAAGACCTTATATCGATGCATGATTTTGAAGATTACATGTAGTTGTTAACTTCTAATCCAGCTTATCTTTAATAAATTATTTTTATAATTTTATATCTTGTATTATTTTTATTTTAAATAAATTACTTATACATAACACAAGTTCGAGTGGGATAGCGCGCATGACAATGTTGCGAAAAGGGTATAGGAGAATCATGCGGCATATATGTAACATCGAAAATAATACAATTTTTTGTTTTAAAATTTAATTTGTCACTATGAAAGTAGGTTGCATGGTTTTTGGTATGACACAAGAAAAGCAAAAAAATATGTGAGAGATAACGGTTTACAAGACTGAAATGACGTGGTGGTTTTGAGGGATTTCAAACCACCATACATCCCAGGGGATATATGGCCATAATATTTTGAGCATGTGATGTCTGAGCGGTTCACATGACGCTTATAGTCCGGTGCCGACAACCAGAACTGACAAATTCATGGTTCGGTGACCACGCACATCGGTAGCTCTATTTCGTACAGTGCATATGCGAAGCGGATGGTAAGATTAATTTAAATAAAATATACCGTTAATTAATTTATTGTTACTTATAAATATATTTAACTTGCAACGTGTTTCGTACAGTGCATATGCGAAGCGGATGGTAAGATTAATTTAAATAAAATATACCGTTAATTAATTTATTGTTACTTATAAATATATTTAACTTGCAACATTTTTTTGTTCTTACAGGCTATGTTTCTTGGACGTGAGTCAAGCCTAATGGAGTTGTTTGTAGATACGCATGTGTGAAGTAAAGACCGCCAAAAGGGGGTGCAACAGTTTGAGGACAACTGCACTCAACACTTCATGGTATGCTCGCTCAATCATTTTATTTTGTAAGTTATTATTTTCTTGAATTGAATAAGATGATTTCTTTTTTAATTTTCAAGCAAGGTTGTCAATTTCATTTCGGTAGATGTTTCGTTTTTTCAATTGGAATGGAATGTTTCAGTTTCGGAGTGTTTCGGCGTGCCGTTTCGAGGTTGTTAAATATAAAGTTAGGTCAATGTTATCAACACTAATGGAATCTAAAACATCCCTTATTTTGCTCAAATTCCTACAAAGTATAAACATAAACAAAAAAACATGAATATAAACCATATATATTAGTGATAAATCTAATTTTAAAAAATTAATATCATTGTTAATGAAAATAGTAATAATAATTTTTATTATTATTAATAATATCATTGATATTGAAAATAGTAATGAAAAAGAACTTTTTATACTTAGGTGGTTTAATTAATGAAATTAAACAAGGTTCAATTTGATTCAATGTTTTTTCAAGAGCAGAATGAAATATGTGGAATGAAACCAGAACGTTTCGGCCAGAATTTAGCCGAAAAATCCAAAACGAACCGAGATTTAAAATGAGATGAAAATAGTTCCGTTTTGTTCCATTTTTTGAATTGGTATGGAATGTTTCGGTCATTCCGGGCGAAACGAAACGAAATTGACAACCTTGTTTTCAGGAAACATATAATAGCTGGTTGAGAGAGAGATATGAAGATGATCCTTTGACCCATCCGAATTTCAATCCAGATTTGTGGATGGAGGTAGGATCGTCTGGTGAACCTGATAAAAATCGGGTGTACAGGCTCTCCAATATTATGGCCGAGAACTTGCGGATGCCCATAGTGTCTTAACCTGATAAAAATATTTATTGCATATGCCACTATCATCAACATCTACACCAGCAGTCAAAGACTATCAGTATTTTATAAAAAGTTGCAAAATATTTACTATTTATGTCACATTCACTGATAAAACTTCTCTGTCCATGAGTTACTGCTGGAAATACAAACTAAATTATTCCGTTTATAAATTTTTTCTGCCGTGTTTTTTTTGTCAATATAACTGTTAATATTTTTTTTTTACAGACAAAATTAACAACAAAAAAAGAAATTACCGATGATCTAAATGTCGACAAACAGTTTCTGTCGATGACTTTTACCGATGGAGTGTGTTTTCTATGCCAACGAAGCAAATCCATCGATAACACCGTTAATGACGTTAATGGCCGCGTCCCCATGATCATCCGGATTGCTCCCTTTGAGAATCACCACCACAAGAGCCACTATGAAGGCATAATCAACATTAGGCATAATCGCGAGAGCGTGTCTTCCATGCACCTGCGTTCACATAATAAGAAAAATACCGGCATGAGATATTAATTATGAAGACAACTTTCTTGATTAAAACAATAATCGATTTTAATGTAAATGATGTAATGAAATCTGGGGTATTTCTACGGCAGCCTCAGCCACAGACATATAGTTCTATATGAGAAGATGATGTTGGTTAAATTTATTCAATATTGACATATTTCAGAAATAAGTTTTGTTAATGTTACCTGTGCAAGCATGGTATTGGAATCTCCAAGAAGTATAGAGCAGGAACTCTTGCTGTAGCCTTCTTTGACCTTGAAATCAGGGACCTCTCCTTGGTTATTAC